AAAAAAAAAAAAAAAGCCACAGGAAAAGACATTGAAAGCAGAAAGAGAAAAGCAAGCCATCATTTACAAGGGATCTTCTTAAGACTAATACATGGGTTCTCACCTATCAACCAAGAATTTCATATATGGTAAAGGCTAGACACAGTGTTTCATACCTATAATCTTAGCACTCTGGGAGGCTGAGTTCACAAGACCAGCCTGAGCAAAAGTTAGACTATTTCTACTAAAAAAGGAAAACTAACCAGGCATCATGCCAGGCACCTATAGTCTCAGCTACTTGAGAGGCTGAGGAAAGAGGATCTCTCTTGAGCCCAGGAGACTGAGATTACTGTGAGCTATGATGATGCCACAGCACTTCACCCAGAGTGATAAGAGTAAGACTCTGTCTCCAACAAAACAAAACAAAACAAAACACAAAAAAGCCTTCAAGAATTAAGGGGAAATGAAGACATTTCAAAATAAACTAAAGCTAATGGCGTTTGTTATTTCTAGACCTACCCTATAAGGAATGCTAAAAGAAGTCCTTCAGACTAAACCAAAATGAATCTAGACAGTGACCTGAAACCACACAAAGAAATAAAGAACACTAGGGTAAAAGTTACTACATAGGTAAAATGTGAAAGCCAGTACCACTGTATTTTTGGTTTGCAACTCCTTTTTTCCTATATTATTTAAAAGGCAGATGCGTAAAACAGTCATTATAAGTCTGTGACAATAACAACATATGCACAGGGATGGATAGAAATGTAGAGGAACAGGCCATATACTGTGCATTAAAAAAAATTTTTTTAAACAAAAAAAGTTATATAGGAAGAGAGTTTTTATATACCGTTGAAAGCTGGTATTATTCAAACCAGGTTATTATAACTTTAAATTGTTCATTATAATTCCAAATAACCACTAAGAAAATAACTTTTAAAATATATAGAAAAGAAAAGAAGGGAATCAAAATGATACACTACAAAAAAAGTCAACACAAAATCAAGTTTAGTGGCTTGTGCCTGTAGTCTCAGGTACTTGGGAGGCTAAGGTAGAAGGATCAGTTGAGACCAGGAGTTAAAAGGCTAAGCGAGCTATGATAGTGCCACTGTACTCCAGCCTGAGTGACAGAATAAGACCCTGTCTCCTTTGAAAAAAAAAATTCACAAAGAAAGCATGGGAAAAACACTTGAAGATATCAATCTGGGGAAAGATTTTATGAACAAGACTTTTATGGCAATTGCAACAACAACAAAATTAAACAAATGGGATTTAATCAAATTGCAAAGCTTCTGTACAGCTAAGGAGACAACAACCAAAGCAAATAGAAAACCTACACAATGGGAAAGGGTATTTGCATATTTTGAATCAGACAAAAGCTTGATAACTAGGATATACAGAGAACTGAAATTAATCAATGAAAAAAGCCAATAATCCCTTATATCAATGGGCAAGAGAGATGAAGAAAACCTTTTCTACAGAAGACAAATGGCTAACAAATACATGAAAAAATGCTCATTGTCCCTAATCATCAGAGAAATGCAAATCAAAATATCCATGTAACCCCAGCAAGAACGGCTCTCATCACAAAATCTCAAAACTGCAGATGCTAGCGTGATTGTGGAGAGAAGGGAACACTTTTACACTGCTGGCGGGACTGCAAACTAATACAACCTTTTTTGGAAGTATGGAGAAAGAACTCAAACTAGACCTCCCATTTCATCTTGCAATCCCATTACTGGGCATCTACCCAGAAGAAAAAAAATCCTTTTACCATAAGGACACTTGCACTAGACTATTTATTGCAGCTCAATTTACAAACACCAAAATGTGGAAACAGCCTAAATGCCCACCAACCCAGGAATGTATTAACATTCATTCATGTGGTATATGTACACCATGGAATACTATTCAGCCATCAAAAAGATGGAGCCTTTATATCTTTTGTATTAACCTTGATGAAAGTGAAACACATTATTCTTAGTAAAGCATCACAAGAATGGAGAAGCAAGAATCCCGTGTACTCAATTCTGATATGAGGACAATTAATTCTGATATGAGGACCTAGTACATGGTGGAGGGTAGGGAAAGAGGAGAGCAGAGAGTGGGAAGGAGGGAGGGGGATGGGGGTCACTGTGTGACACACCTTTGGGGGCAGGACACAATTATAAGAGGGACTTTATCTAACAAATGTAAACAATGCAACCTGGTTCTTTGTACCCTCAATGAATCCTCAACAATTAAAAAAAAAATTCAATGAAATACCTAAAAATAGTAATGGAGAAACTGAGAAACAAAACCAAGAAAGACACACAGAAAATAAATAGCTAACTGGCAGGGCTCTCCTTACTTTCCATAACCACATTCATCATATAACTTAATAAATATGCACTAGCCATTGTGGGACCCCATCTCTACAAAAAAACAAAAAAATTAGTCAGGAGTGGTACCATGTGCCTATAGTTCCAGCTACTCGGGAGGCTGCAGCAGAAAGACTGATTAAAGGAATTAAAGGCTGCAGTGAGCTCTGAGGGTACCACTGCATTCCAGCCTGGGTGACAAAGCAAGATCTCATCTCAAAAAGAAAAAAAAAATGAGTTTATACTAGACAAATTCTCCATCTAACTGGTAAGCTCCATGTTGGCCAGAACTTTGTCTATCTCCTCACACAAGGAGATGCTTATCGGGCTTACTGAACCAAAATGAGAGAATAATAAGTATGCTTGCATCCACACACACACACACATATTTGGAACCAGTTCATGGGGTCACAGCAGCCTAAAATTGCTACTGAATCATTTACTTATGTCTTTACCCTTGGTTCAATAAGATAAATTAATTTCCCCATGGTCAGTATTCCAATTCAATGAGTTAGATAGGAAGTTAAGTGTATGTTTTCTCTCTAACCCAGAAATTGGGAAACTCCTTAAGTCAACCATTTATAAAAAGCATAGTCTCTCTGACTGGCTTGCTCTTAGAAACTCATCAATTTGCCCTTAACACACATTTTTACATGTAAAAACAGAAGCCCACAAAGGTCAAATTCCAGGGAGGAGTAGAACTGACTGTCCTGACTCCTAAATCCAGTGCTCTTTACTCTTCAGTGCTATGTCTCCACCATACAATAAAACACAGCTCTTTCCAACCCTTTCCTCTACTCCAAGGATCAACAAACTATAATCCAAACCAGTTTCCCACTGCCTGACAAAGTAAATAAAGTTTTATTGGAACACAGCCATGAGCATTTGTTTATGTATCTCTATCTACTTTTGTGGTAAAACAGCAGAGTTTTACCACTTTTGTGGTAAAACAGCAGAGTAGTTGCAACTGAGACCATCTGATCTATAAAGCCAAATATATTTACTGTCTGGCCTTTTATACAAAGTTTGCCATCCCCTGCTCTATTCTATATCAAGGGTCTGACTAGTTTGGATTTAAAATTCCCCTATGGACTAGTTTGAATTTAAAATTCCCCTAAAATTCAGTGTGCTAACTAGCTAGATGGAAAGTGTTTTCTCTTTTTTTTTTTTGAGACAGAGCCTCAAGCTGTCCCCCTGGGTAGAGTGCCGTGGCATTACAGCTCACAGCAACCTCCAACTCCTGGGCTCAAGCGAGTCTCCTGCCTCTGCCTCCCAAGTAGCTGGGACCACAGGCGCCCGCCACAACGCCCGGCTATTTTTTGGTTGCAGCCGTCATTGTTGTTTGGCGGGTCCGGGCTGGGAATTCGAACCCGCCACCTTAGGTGCACCTAGCTGGCGCCTTAGCCGGTTGAGCTATAGGCGCCGAGCCGGAAAGTGTTTTCAAAGTCTAATTATATGTGTGTATCTGACAAACAATTTTTGAGTACTATTCTGTGACAGGCCAAGTGTTGGCATGGAAATTTCATAAGCAATAAAATAATCACACTGGCCTCCTGAGTTCCTGGCCTACTCAGAGGGATTAATATGTTATTCAAGTAATGAGAATTACAAATCAGACTGTTATGATTGGAATCAGGTCTCTGATAAAAAATTTTACTTGCCCAGACAGCCAATCTACTAAATGTGGTGTCATTTCTTTTTAAAATAACAGAAGGGACCTTTAATATATTTAAGTCTATTTATTTCTAAAAGCAACACTAGGTCAGTCTGACACATTATACAAAACTATTCATTCTATTTAGAAATTATTGACAGAATAGACCCCAAATTATTGACAGAATAAACCCCAAGTGTGAAAATGGGAGTGTCTGCCATGACTTTTGAGAGGTCGCTGCCTCAGACCTACTTCTCTAAACCAGGAAAAAACCTCAAGAACCATCTGCCTCCTGACCTGCAACAAGCTCATTTCCAGCTGTAGGGCATCTCTCTCTCTCCGAGCAGTATCCAACTCTCCTTCCAACCGCCGCACCTCAGACTGCACCAATGCCAACTGCTGCTGGGCCTCTCGTGCTGCCAGAGCTTCCCTCTGGCTATTCCCCTAAAACACAGAAATCACATATCTCATTTCCAATCTCCTGGTTACCCCTATTCCCCAATTCATACCCCCACACCCTAAAACCCAAGCTTCCTCTCAATGTCCTCCCATTTGTCTTACTTTCCCACTGCTGTTTAATCTCACTCTTTGGCCTTCCATATATTTGATGGCCTCAGCCCTTCCTGCTGGCCCTACACTCTCAAACTTGTCTCCCACATATGGCTCATTACTGTCCATCCTGTCCCCTATTCTGACATCCCATCCCATTCAATAACTTTGCCCTTCTTTTTTTTTTTTTTTTTGAGACAGAGCCTCAAGCTGTCCCCCTGGGTAGAGTGCCATGGCATCACAGCTCACAGCAACCTCCAACTCCTGGGCTCAAGCGAGTCTCCTGCCTCAGCCTCCCAAGTAGCTGAGACCACAGGTGCCGCTACAATGTCTGGCTATTTTTTGGTTGCAGCCATCATTGTTGTTTGGCAGGCCCAGGCTGGATTTGAACCTGCCACCTTAGGTGTATGTGGCTGGCACCTTAGCCACTTGAGCCACAGGTGCCGAGCCAACTTTGCCCTTCATATGTTCCCCATTCCCCAACTCTTCCAAATGTTGCTTTTACCTTCTCCCTTTCCAGTTGAGCCTGGCTCTCCTCCTGAAGCACCTGGTAGTGTTCCTTGAGCTGGTGCTCTTTCTGGGCCCAGGTCTGCCGTTCATCTTCTAGGGAAGCCTGAAGAGTCTCCAACTGTCGATGCTCACTGAGTTGCACAGACCGAGCTGCATCCCGTTCTTCCTGAAGGGCATGGCACCGCTGCTGTTCTACCTCCAAGCTCAAGGTCAGAGCTTGTCTTTCTTCTTCCTATAGCCCCAGAAGAAAACCACAATCTTTACCAGGCCCTCAAGAGACCAGCAATCTGTTCCCTGATCCCCACATACCTCTTGAGAATTATGCCCATTAAAAATACAAAAATTGGGTCAGCACCTGTGGCTCAAAGGAGTAGGGTGCCAGCCCCATATACCAGAGGCGGTGGGTTTGAACCCAGCTCTGGCCAAAAACTGCAAAAAAAATAAAAATAAAAAATGAAAGCTGGGAGCAGTGATTTATGCCTATAATCCTAGCACTTTGGGAGGCTGAGGCAGGAAGATCATTTGAGGTTCGGAGTTTAAGACCAGCCTGAGCAAAAGCGAGAAAGACTCTGTATCTTTAAAAATTTCAAAAATTAGGGCTGGGCACAGTAGCTTACACCTGTAGTCCTAGCACTCTGGGAGGCTGAGGTGGGTAGACTGCCTAAGCTCACAGGCTCGAGAGCAGACTGAGCAAGAGTGAGACCTCTACCTCTAAAAATAGCCAGGTGTTGTGGCGAGCACCTGTATCTCAGCTATTCAGTAGGCTGAGACAAGAGAACTCTTGAGCCCAAGAGTTTGAGGTTGCTATGAGCTGTGACACCACAGCACTCTACCGGGAGTGACAAATTAAGACTCTGTCTAAAAAAAAAAAAAATTTTTTTTCCAAAAATGAGTCTGAGCATGGTGGTGGGCTTCTATAGTCCTAGCTACTCCAGAGGCTGAGGAAGGAGGGTCACTCAAGCCCAGGAGTTTGAGGTTGCAATGAGCTATGATGATGCCACTGTACTGGACCTGGGCAACAAAACAAAACCCTGATTCAAAACAAACAAAAATAACTAATAGTTGACAAGCTCACAGAATTAGGAAGGAGCTCCTATACCAGAGTTAGGGAAATCTTGATTTAAAAATCTCAATTTGACTCCTAGTTCTATCATTTCCAATGTGTTCTTAGGCATTTATCCTTATTGGTAAAATGGTGATAATAACAGAGTCTACACTGTGAGCATTAAAGCAAAAAGCTTATGGAAAGCATTTATCACAGTATCTGGCATGTAGTATAAACCCTCAATGCTCAGATAGCATCAAAAGAAATTGCACAAAAACTAGAAAATCCTGCCTATGATCATGGACTAGCCAAGCAGTAACCAATGCAGCACTGTTACATGTAGCCTATTAAGGCTGCAAGTACCAGCATGCAAGTAGCAAGCATGCATCAGGCATGCAACAAGTTCCAAATCTGGCTACTAACTCAAATGTGTAATCATCTTATCATTTCAGTTCTAAGAAGCTGAGTGTTATCCCACACTTTTTTAGCTGTGCCCTAGACCATCGCTGCCAAACCAGACTGAACAAAATCACTTAAGAAATTTCTGAAAATATTTGGGTTGCCCAACCCTACTATATGCATGTACCTAATTCAATCAAAACCTCTAGGGATGGGTCCCAGAAATCTATATTTAAAAATAATTCCCCAGATGGTTCTAATGTTCTAATGAGGATACACCCTGCAGAGTCTCTCAGAATTAACTTAGTGGCACAGCCTCATTTTTGTAGAGTAGATAACAGAACTAGTATTGTAAAGAATACACTTTGAACAACACTGCTCTGGTGCAACTTAAATTATAAACTCCCACAATCTACCAATAGCCCATTGCTCACTAGAGGTAATTAACAATCTCCATGGGGATTAACCCAGTCTGATCTCACCAGTGTCTCTCTTTCCCGTTGTTGTAGTCTGGCACTTTCTTGCTCACGATTCAGGGCCTCCATGGCCTCAGAAAGGCTTTGTTCCAGGCGGGCTACTGTCTTTCAGGGAAAAAAGAACATAGGATAGAGGAAATGAGGGAAATTTCTGTATGCCATATTTGAAAAGCATTAACAATATAAACTTGAAAATTCAGAGTTAATTAAATGACTTGGAGTGCCAAAGAGAAGACTACATGGTGTGGGAAAAACCGGGAAGACACTGATGATTCAAGTAGGCAGCAGAAACAGCTACTGTAATTTCAAGGTCAATCTATTGGGAACCCTAATTTCAGAGCTATTTCTACCCCTTTCCACCTAGAGATCTGTGACTTAGGTTCTAATGCCATATGATCAAGGTTGCCCACCTCCTGTTGCTTGCTTCTGGTGAGTTCTGCTGCCTGGCGTTCTTCTTGAAGTCCCTGAAGCACCTCTGTCCGCTCAGCCTCATGCCGGTTCCAGCCCTCTACCACCCGGGCCAAGGTCTTAAGTAAGGGAAGTAAGATGGAATCTGAAATAACTTTTTGCTTTCTTTTACCCATATGGGTCAATAGCCACGCTCTTCAAATAGTCAGTAAACCCACTTCTTACCCCAACTCTTACCATGCACAATGAAATGCTAGTTAGCTACTCCCTTATTTACTATTCCTTAATGCATCTCCATGGAGATCCACCCACATTTTGCTACCCTGGCACCTTGTCCAGTTGTTCAATCATGATATCCTTCTTGCGGTCAGCAGCCACAGCCACTGCCAATTGTTGTTGTAGTTCTAGCACACGGGTTTGCAGACTCTGAATGTGGCGCTCACAATGCTAGGAAGAAGGGTGAGAAGTCTAAGTGTTGTCCTTCTTTAGTCTGACCATAGCTGAAAACTTCCCAGCTCCTCTAGGGGGAAATGTAGAGACAAGGAACCTGGGTCCCAGGAACAGAATAGGTTTAGAGAAGGACATTAGGAATTCTGGAGCAGAAACCTTAAAGCCCAAGTTCTCCAACAACTCCCTTCTCAGGAAATAGGTGCTTAACATTTCAGCCTCTTCCCTATCCTGGATCTTCTGAAAGAAATTCCCATAAACCTTCTGGCAGAGGTGTAGCAGCCCACATTGCAAAATATGCAGTTACTCCTACTTTAAGAAGTTCATTGGACAAAACAAACATAGCAAGGATAAAGGGTAAAGTGTTTCATTTGATGCCCAAGCAGTTTAAATAGAGAAATAGAAGGTTGCAAAAAGATTTTGACTTTTCCTCTGCCTTATCCATTTCTCCGTCCACTTCGTACATTAAGGCTGAGACTCACAAAGATAAAGTTCATTATTTTACCAAGAGCTATAAAGCCTTTACACAAGCTAGCCAATGTTGTGTTCACTCAACAAACACTATGGAGTGTATCTATGTGTTAGATATCTAGATTTTAGGAAGCCACTGCTAGACAAGACCAGATACTGACCCTCATGAAGCTTAGATTTTAGAGGAGAGAAACAAACAAGAAATATCAGAATGATAAGCTACATAGAGGATATAATAGAGTGATCTGGCTGACTGCTTGTAAGGGAAGTTGTGCCATATTAGAATGGTCAAAGATCTCTCTGGAGAAATATTTGAGCAAAATCCTAGCTTTCAGGTTCTTAACCTTCAGCCTTTTCAACACTCAAGTCCCTTATTTTTAATTATTATCGCTTTCAAAAGGAAGACTTTGTATCTCACCTTACGGCGGGTATGCTCTGAATCCAGTGCATCTTTCAGCCCCTGAAAATCCGGGAGATTGAGTGGGGGGCCTGGCCGAAGGCTGGTGTAGCGGGGAAACAACTCCTCCAGGGCTTGGGCTGAGCTAGATGGAGATAAGTCTTGCAGAGGTCGGGTGCTGAGCAAATCAAGTAGAGAATGTTATGGTTAGGAAAGCTTTGGGGAACCAAAAGTTGAACCACTAGTTCAACTGTGATATTTTAAAATAAGGAAACGGAGACCAGAGAGAGCAAGAGATTTCCCCAAAGTCATGAAGTTAGATAGTGAGAGAGCCATAAATAACACATTGGTCTGTCATTTACTTCAAGATCTTAGTAGCCTAGGTGACATAGCAAGATCCCATCTCTACAAAAAACAAAGTAAATTAGCCAAGTATGACAGCACACTTCTATAGTCCTAGCTACCTGGGAGGCTGAGGAATGAAGATCACTTGAGCCTAGCAGTTTGAGGATACAATGAGCTATGATAATGTCACTGCACTCCAGCCTATGAAACAGAGTGAGATCTTGCCTCTAAAGTTAAAAAATACAGGCCAGGTGTGGTGGCTCATGCCTGTAATCCTAGCACTCTGGGAGGCTGAGGTGGGTAGATTGCCTAGGCTCAGGAATTTGAGATTAGCCTGATCAAGAGTGAGACTCTGTCTCTAACTAAAAAGACCTCATCTTTAGCTAAAAACAAAAAACTGGGTGGGTAATTATGGTGGGTGCCTGTAGTCCCAGATACGAAGGAGGCTAGGGGAAGGGGCTTGCTTAAGCCCAAGAGTTTGAGGTTGCTGTGAGCTATGATGATACTGTGGAACTTTACCCAGGGCAACAGAGTAAGACTCTGTCTCAAAAATAAAATAAAATAAAATAGGCTCGGCACTTGTGGCTCAAGTGGCTAAGGCGCCAGCCACATACACCTGAGCTGGCAGGTTCGAATCCAGCCCAGGCCCGCCAAATGATGGCTGCAACCAAAAAATAGCTGGGTGTTGTGGTGGGCGCCTGTGATCCCAGCTACTTGGGAGGCAGAGGTAGGAGACTCACTTGAAACCAAGAGTTGGAGGTTGCTGTGAGCTGTGATGCCACAGCACTCTACCCAGGGGACAGCTTGAGGATCTATGTAAAAAAAAATAAATAAATAAAATAAAATAAAGTTTAAAAATATAAAATAAAAACAAGTAAAAATAAATTTTAAAGAAGTCTCAGCAGAACAAGCTAACTCTTCAGAGGGGAGAAAGGACTGAAGGTTGAGAGAAAGTCAAGTACTTGGAAGCAGATGCCCACATTCCTGAAGGAGCAAAAGGGATAGAGAAGATAGGGAAAAAAGGATGAAAATTGAAAGCCAAGTGACAAGCCTCTTGGGTCCTTAAGAATTATATCAAGCAATAAAAGAAGAACTAAGGAACAGAACATTTGATTTCCAAGAAAGCAAATAAGCTAGGAGAACCCCAAGGAACTCACTTGAGCAAGGTGGCGGTGCTGTCACTATCAAAGGAGTCCTCTTCCCGTCTCTCTGAACCAGCACCTGGAGCAAGGGGATCCCCTGGAGGAACCCACAGGGATCCCACCACCAGAGTCAGGTAAGGAAAGGAACAGGGACCACTTGAAAGAGAAAAGAGGAGAGGGCCTTCCTTTCTGCTTCCCTCATCCTCTCATCCTCCTCTCCCAAAGGACAGGAGCCTTTTCTCCTGAAATCTCTTGTCTCAGAGATCTAGGTTTTCCTGCCCCTAGGTTTCCTCTGTCCCACCCCTTAAATATAGTTTCTCCTTTATAGCTTTAGGGAAGGGGTTTACTCACGGTAGGCTATATCACGTGAGGCTTGGAGCATGTTCTGGAGTTGACCTCGAACGCTTTCCATCTCAAAGATGTGCTTAGAACCATCCTAGAAAAAAAGTTACATAGAAATCAGAAGCAATCTGCATAATCCACATTCTGTCTACTGCCAGGGAAGAATTTTTACTTCAGCACTTGCGAAAGCCAAAAAAAAAAAAAAGCCAATAAAGGCTATCTGAATATTGATTTAGAAACTCAAATGCCTATAGGAGCCAGAAAGGTAATGTAAATGAATAAACTAGGCAGGCATGAGACAAGAATAGTGGGGATTCTTGCCAACTAAAGAACATACGCTCTGTCTAAAGACATGTAGCCCCTGGCATTCACTTTTCAAACTCTGAAAGATCAAACTGGTCTGCAAATTGATTATGACACTGTTTCTATCCATACACTAATAACAATCTTCTTTGTGACTTGTATAATTGGCTAAACTGTTTTAATGATTTACATGACAAATTTTGAACCACACTTTCAATACAGTTTTTGGGCTGGAAGGATCTTAGCATATTTTGCTGCTATCCTAAGTCCTTAGCTCTGTCTTGGGATCAAGAAATCCACTCCCAGCGCCCAAGTCTCAGTCCCAGCACACTAACCTACCCCACAGGTTTGCTCCATCTATTGAAAACAGAGATGCTTCTCACAAAAAGTACTAGGAAGTTTCACAATTTTCCAAATTGTGGTGTTCCAGGTCACTCGCCCTCATAAACATTTGCTCTCAGAAATAAGCATTGACTATGGAGTTAAAAGAAATTTGAAATCCAACAAGAGGAGTTCAATTCTCAGCAAACTTTTTGTTTGTTTTAACCACCTTCAATCCCAAGATTCTGTTGCCTAGTAGCCTAGATGTCCCCAAATCACACTTCCCTTACCTTTTTCTTCAGGTTGTTCTCCAATCCGACAGACAAGCTGTGACTCAGCTCTTGGGCCAAGCCCTCTAACTCCTCAAGAGGAGGAGGGGAGGCAGAAGGTAAATACAGCTGGGCTCGGGCTGTGGCCTCTGCCTGGCGGCTGAGGCGCAAAGAAGCATAGAGCTGGGAGGTCACCTCTGAGGACGCATGGTTCAGCCCAGGGGCTTCTGAAGAATCAATCAGCAGATCCTCTGCTCGGAGAGGCGAACTGGGGCCGGGAGCTGATGTTGCCATGAGTGCAAAGAAGAGACAACTGGAGACAGCAGGAAGCTGGGACGTTCTGCTCTAGGAAAGTCCAAGCGGATAAGTTCACGGAGAAGAGAGACTTGGGACAGGGGAAAAAGACTATACGCCAAGAATCCTTGGTGAATAAGCGTACGGAGACTTTCTGGTTGGGGGAAAGGTTTCCACTGGTTCCAGAGGCCATGGGAGAGGGCAAAATCATTCCTTTCCCCAGCTCCTGGGAAAGATGTTAAAAGAGGGTTTAGCGCAGGAGGGGGTGTAGACAGGAGACCTAACGTAGGGCAAAGCACCGTGCAGTTTCTCTTCCCAACTGGGAGTGCTGGAAATGGCAGACAACTTCGGTACAGGCTATCCCTGCTCAACTGAACTCATGAGATCTCACACCCAAAACGTGCAAACTGAAACGAACTCAAATCCAATAGGTGCCCAAATTCTGTCCCGCAACCTCTCTTGTCCCTCAACTGGCTCCGGTCTCAAGAGATAGGAACCTCACGCCCAGCACAGTCTCGCGACTTCACCCGTTCCACCCAGGGTCAGCCACTTCGTACATCCCCCTCCGACCACTCCTGGCAAGAAAGCTATAGCAGAGCTCTCTAGAATCCCTCCCTCCCTACCACCCCCAAAGAAACCTTGTAAATCCTCAGTCGCGCCCTTAGACGTCTCTAAAAAAGCACGTCGCCCTCAACCCTAGCCTGAGGTCCTTACCCCGACCACCCGGTCCCAACTACTGTCTACGCTTTCAGTCCTCAGATCCTAATTTCCCAAGGTAGGGACCCTAGCCTAAGCCCAGATTCGGAAAGACCCACACACCCCCTCCCGCGCGGTCCTCACGCTCAAAACCGTTGGCAGCCTCCCGCCCACAAGTCCTCCCCCTAGCCTGATGACGCCACCCGCCCCCAATCCCACAAGGGCAGCTACGCTCACGGCTTCTGGATCCCGGGACCCCTGGCGCGCGTGCGTGGCTCCGGCGGCCACGGATTGGCTGAGGGAAGAAGGCGGAGTCGGACGAGAAGCATTGGGGAGGAGTTACTGCTCCGAGGTAACAGTGTGAAGACCCGGAGGGGCGGGGCTTCGCAGAAACCGGAAGTAGCTCCTGACGGGCACTCTGAGTAGTTCCGGTGAGTCTGGGGGTGGGGTCCCTACCTGGTCGGAAATATCCGGGACCCAGAACGCTATCCCACAGACTGGGAGCGGCCCGGGAACAAGGCTAACGTTCTCTCTCCTGCAGATGACTGTCCACAACCTGTACCTGTTTGATCGGAATGGAGTGTGTCTGCACTACAGCGAATGGCACCGCAAGAAGCAAGCAGGGATCCCCAAAGAGGAGGTGATGAGAGGGCCCCGGCACAGCCCGGGTGACTTCGCATCTCCAAACGCACAAAGTCCCAGCCCAGCCCCTCCTCTCCAAACCCTGGCCCGTTCCCGCCCCTCTCCCGTCTCCCTCAACAAATGAGAGCTAACTCTGTTCTTCTCCTTGCAGGAGTACAAGCTGATGTACGGAATGCTCTTCTCTATTCGCTCGTTTGTCAGCAAGATGTCCCCGCTGGACATGTACGCGGAGCAGGACATTGGGAGGAGGGTTAGCCATGGGAATGTTGGGGTGAAGGAAATTTTTGGAGTGGAAGGGGCATTGGCTCTCAAAGAGGGAAAGAGGACCAAGAGAAACTGAATCCGAAGCGAGAGTGCAGAAGCTGGCAGAACCCGCAATGGGGAAGGTCTGAAGGTAGAGAGGTTGAGGGCTGGAACAAAACTGAGCTGTGAGGATGGACTGGGCGATGTCTTTACTCAGCCAGGCTCCTACAAACGATTTGTTTAAGGAGTCGACCTCCATTCTTTAACATCCTCCTCATCTCTGCAGGAAGGACGGCTTCTTGGCCTTCCAAACTAGCCGTTACAAACTCCATTACTACGAGACACCCACTGGGATCAAGGTTGTCATGAATACTGACTTGGGCGTGGGATCCATCCGAGATGTGCTGCACCACATCTACAGTGCGGTCAGTGCCAACCCTGGAACCCTTCCCCCAAAGGTCCTGACTCCCTCAGCTTTCCTGCCCTAATCTACTGTGTTATAATATCTCTGTTGAACTCAGAGTTTTCTCAGGGGCTTTTAGATCATTAAACCTTCCCACCACCAGTTTCTCCTTAGAGAGGTCTTGCTTCCCTGCCCTTGTTTCTTGTGCATTCACACACCCTTGAGGTTATGCTAGCTTTGGGGTTAAAAATGAGAAGTGTGCAAAGCCTGGCTCTAACACTTTCCCCCTCCATAGTTGTATGTAGAGCTGGTGGTGAAGAACCCCCTGTGTCCTCTGGGCCAAACTGTGCAAAGTGAGCTCTTCCGCTCCCGACTGGACTCCTACATCCGCTCTCTGCCCTTCTTCTCCACTCGGGCTGGCTGAAGCACTCTACCTCATCCCTGGAGAGAATTCATGTCTATCTGGGGTCCTTCCTAAACTCTGCCACCTGAGGGGCCTCACTGTAAACCCCTACACTGCCCCTCTCTTAGGCCAGCAGCCTAAAGACCCACCCTGGTGCTCTTGGAATCACCAGAATGAAAACCCCAGGAGTCCCTCCACCTCCAAATTAGGCCCTCTCCAGTTTCATCCCACCTGACACTGCGAGAAGCACAAAATAAACTTTTTTTCACCCTCTGCCTCCTAAGCATGTCAATTTGAGTGGGCCCTCTTGCTCCTACCCCTCTCATGAAGGCAGGAAGTAGGATAGCTGTACCCTCCTGAAGCCTGCAAAAGAGGCTTTGCCAGTAGGTTTCTTAACAGAGGTGCTGTTGACATTTTGGTCTGGATAATTCTTTGTTGAGGGGACTGTCCTGTGCGTTGTAGGATTTTAGCAGTATCTCTGGCCACTACTCACTAGATGTTGATAGCACATCGTTCCTTACTCCCAGTCGTGAAATAAAAAAAAATGTCTTCAAATCTTGCCAAACATGCCCTGGGAGGCAAAATCCCTCCTGATTGAGAATCACTGGATGAAGGGAAGGCTGGCAGGCCTCCATTCCCAGAGGGTACAAGAACCATGCTCTTGGGTTCCACTCAAGAATACTCCAGCTGCGGAAGCCTTAAGGAGGCGGGTCTTATGCAGATAAGCGGCAGGTTTGGATGGGAGGCGGGCGGCTCTATGCAGATGAGAGGGCGGTGCCTGCATGTTGATAAGTTGGGCTAGCTGCCGACGCAGCTGGAAGCCTAGCGGGTCCCGCTGCGGTTCGGACTGAGGTGGCATTCCTCTCCCACCCTCCTTGTCCCTGGGTTCCTACGCTTTGAGGATTGTCCTTGACCTTTACCCTCGTCCATTTCCCCCTCCCTACTCCAGTGCCCCGGGTAACTGATTATCTCCACTCCTGGCGTCCCCCGCGTTTCTCCGCTCCTGCAGCAAACCTTGCGACCTCTAGCAGCCCGCCCCCGCGGCCTGATCTTGCCTGGCAGATCCCGCTGCAGCCTCCCCAGTCTTCGCGCTCTCCCGGGGCTCACCTCACTACGCCGCCGGTTGTCCGCCCTCGGGCTTCCCTTCTCCCTCCTTCCACCCTATTGGAGCCCCCTCCCCCGCCTTTGCTAGCCGGCATGCAGGTGTCTATCGCGTGTACCGAGCAGAACCTTCGCAGCCGGAGCAGTGAGGACCGTCTGTGTGGACCACGGCCCGGCCCCGGGGGCGGTAATGGCGGGCCAGTCGGCGGGGGGCATGGGAATCCTCCCGGGGGTGGAGGGTCCGGCCCTAAAGCCCGAGCTGCACTGGTTCCCCGACCCCCCGCATCTGCTGGGGCCCTCCGAGAGAGCACCGGCCGAGGCACTGGCATGAAATACAGGTATGCGGGTGGCTGAGCCGCCAACCCCATCAGCTCCCCTTTCAGGACCCCCTGAGGCTTCTTGAGATGGCCACCAAGACCCCTACAAACTTCACTAAGAAAGTCCCTATTGGTTCCATCTCTTCTTCCTATCACCAGCACTCCCTTACTTTGTTCCTCTCTTGGTCTTTGTTGATACCCCTAAGAAAGAATCAAGTTTACCAAGGTTGATTGGGTCCTGTCAGACCGAGGGGATGCCCTTAGCTTCCCTCTTTAGCCCTACGAAGGCCAGAGAGGCACAGATCTCCAATCTGCATGGATCTCCAGGCTGCACCCCCCTACAATGGAGTGTCCTTGGGTTGGCGTCCTGGGGAGAGGAGGGACGGAAATGGCTTCTCACTCTGGCCTGCTCAGGGTGCCTGACCCAGATACTCCCCCCACCTGACGCAAAGAAACAGTCTTCTGCAACCTTTCTTGGGGAGAGAGGAGTAGGGCCTGTAGAAAGGATGGACCACATTTTTCCATCTCCATGCTGAGGGGCAAAGTCTGGATGGGGAAGGTGAACTACTTTATCACTGAGAACTGGGGGGCCAAGGACTCTCAGGACTGGAGAGGGGAGGGGAGGGGACAGGCTCCTGCTTGGGAGTGAGAAGGTCACTGATCTGACCTGCTTTGTCAGCTGAGGAATCTAATCTCAGCTATGTGGTGGTCCTGATTGAGATACTGACCTGACACCTGGGTGGAGGTATTAGAAAGAGGAGGGGACTAACAGGTTCAGAGACAGTCTTCACAAGCTGATAGGAGCTGGAGGGAGTTAAGAAAGGGAGAAGGAGAACTAGCCTTTCCTGTGATCCACTCTGCCTACCCCCCAGGTCTCCTATCTGCCTTTGCTGCAGACCCAGCTGTCCGTCTGCCCTGCCTAACCAGGGGCCCTTGCCTGTCTGAATGTCTGGATTTGACTTGGTTTACATCTTCTATCCTGGTTTCTGCCCTTTAGTGTAGTATTCTCTGTCTGAGGGTATGTTCACACAATCTCACCACAATTAGCCAGCCACACTCCTCCCACCCCTTCCACTTTCACACATCCCAGAGATGACTCAAAACACAGACAAGACCCTATCCATGAAGAAGACAAACCAGACATCCATCCATATCTTCAACAAGATAGGAGAGAATGGAGGCATTGGACAGTGGCTCCAGAGGAATGGTCATTTATTGGTTCACTTGTTCTTTCAACAATATTCCCAGGTCCTCTAATATGGGGCTAACACTTTCCCAATCCTGTAGGCCCACTGATTCTAGTTTCTTTGGAATGAGACACCCTGAGGGCTTCTCAGTTTAGGAGAGGAGCTGGGGAATGATCTAGGTTCTGAATGAGGTTCCAACCCTTCCTGCTGCTATTGTATCCTATAGGAACCTAGGAAAGTCTGGTCTCCGGGTATCCTGTCTTGGCTTGGGTGAGTTGGAATGGGAATTGAGGGAATAGGGTATTCTTTCATGGCCTGCCTCCCACGGTTCTTATGTACCTGGTTTCTCTCTTGCAGGTACTTGGGTCACATTTGGTTCTCAGATCTCAGATGAGGTATAAATGATGGGACCTAAAAACAGGGTGGGAAAGGAGGAAACCAGAAAAAAGGGGAACTGGATCTGGATAGGGATTTGGACCACAATCATGGGGAATGAGGGATTTGAGGTTGGAGGAGGGGGAAAGGGAAAAAAATATGGAAACCAGGGCTGAGGTTTGATGGGTTAGAGTGCAGTGAGAGAAGTAAGTGAGGGACAGTAGTTGATCTTCAACTTTTTCTCTCACCTCCCTAGACAGCAGAGGATGTGCTGACAGTAGCCTATGAGCATGGTGTAAACCTGTTTGACACCGCTGAAGTCCATGCAGCAGGAAAGTAAGGACTGGGATGAAAGAGCTAAGTTCCATTTGGAAGGCTTAGAGAACATCATGGCTTCTGTTTTTCCCTCTAAAAGTCTTTGGGAACTGGGGGGCATCTGTGGCTCAGAGGAGTAGGGCACTAACCCCATATGCCACAGGTGGTGGGTTCAAGCCCAGTCCTGGCCAAAAACTGCAAAAAAAAAAAAACCAAAACCTTGGGAATTCTGAGAACATTAAGTTCCAACCTTTTAACCAATAGGTCCCCAAAGCATCATGAGAGTTATAGTCACAATACCAGTTCCTCTCCAGCCTAGAAGTGAATTGGTAAACCGCAAACACATTAAATAAAATCAAAAAATATATCCTGGACATTATTTACATGCAATTATATGAGGATTTCAAAGCTAAATTTCCAAACACACCACCCTACATCACACATCTATGACTTTCCACTGGCAGCAGTGAAAACCTACAATGACCTACCTTTGCCTCTTCCCCATCTGGCAAACATGTTTGCTCATCTTCAAAACTCAACCCAAATGTCTGCTTCTCCAAGAAGACTTTGTCCAACTTCTCAGAATCAGACACCCCTCCCCCAATAAGTTCCCAAATCATTCTATACTGCCTTCTGACACACAATTAATTACTGGTTTATGTAGCCATATTCACTGCTCAGCTCAGACGCCTCTTCCATGAAACTTGTCTTTTCTTCCCCAGGTACTTAAGCAGAGACTAGCACAAATCTGGCACCATTTGGGATGGAATCAACATATTCTCAAAAAGTGCACAGTCTAAATGGCTAAGCAAAAAAAAAAAACCTCAGGGAGATAGGGAATATTAAATAATGGTAAAACATTTCATAATCTACCTTAACGATTTAAGACTTATCACAAGTTAGGTCATAATTTACATGCTTAAGAATTGTGTAGCCAATTCTACGAAAGTTGACAAGGACAGACCAAAGTCTGTGTCAATCAGAGAACATTTAATAGATGAGGCAGAATCCTAGTTGAGTTTTCGAGGATAGGTGGAATTTTGCAGAAGTTCAAAGCAGGTAGAGGGCAACCCAGATGTTGAAGCCAGTGTCCTCCCTGGCTCCACACAGTCTGTCCTCCCCTCAGTCCTATTCAAATTTAGTACCCACTACAGGGCTTGGTACATAATTGATGCACAGCACATATTTGTTGAATAAAAGAATGAAAACTATATAGCTACATCCCTAGTTCCAGGAGCCCCTCTTATTTAGTCCAAGATGGGGCTAAAAGCCCAAATTGGCTCCTGGTTTATATTCTATTTTATAATAGGAGAAGGTGGAGAGGAGCTGAAGGAATTGATCCACCTTGGAGGGATCAGTGCGTCTGCATTGTCTTTCTTTTAGGGCTGAAAGAACCCTGGGTAACATACTCAAGAGCAAAGGTTGGAGGTAAGACTGTGTTTGGGGGGACTGCTGGGGACATAATTATCTGAAAATCCTTTTCTTGCTGGTTTTCTCATTTCTCTTTTCTAGGAGATCCAGCTATGTGATCACCACCAAGATTTTTTGGGGAGGACAGTAAGTGGCTACCTTACTATGCTTGGGAAGAAGACCTACAAAGAATGTGTGAAAGTGTATGGGATAAGGGTGGGCATAGTTATCCTAAACCCACTATTCCAGAACTGCACCCTGCCTGTGAGGACCATACAATCCCAATATCATGGCTCTAGGCCAGCCCTCGTCCTCTTTATCATACTTCTTTGACTTACCTCTTCCTACAGGGCAGAAACTGAGCGAGGCTTGAGCCGCAAACACATCATTGAGGGTGAGTTTTAGGGGCTGGGAACCTGAAGTAGTGGGGTATGGAAACTAGAGAAGGTGGGAACATTCTCTGAAGCTCTGAATTGGAGGGTTTGAATAGAGACATAGGTGGCCATGGCAAAGAGATAAGGTCTGTATTCTTAGTAAATTGAAGCTGAAGTACCTATCTTCCTCTCTCCACCCCGCACCTCTAGGCTTGCGAGGATCCCTGGAACGCCTCCAGCTGGGATATGTGGACATTGTCTTTGCCAATCGCTCAGATCCCAACAGTCCTATGGAGGGTAAAAGCAGCACCCCCAAACCTAACAGTCTTTCAACACTAGGCACTCCCTCAAGCCCTCAGGAGGAAGCCAGCCCTTGCTCAGAAGACCTGCCCAGCTCCACCTTTCCTCAGGACTTGGACAGGGAGGGAGGCAAAGAACAGATATGAACCTCTGACTCCACAGAGATGCCTGGGATCTCAGTGGGGCAAGCAGAGGTCTTCAGATCTGGATCCTTAGATTCCAGGGGTCTGACAGTGAGGCTGTCCCTCTCCTGTGTGCCTAGAAATTGTCCGAGCCATGACCTATGTCATCAACCAGGGCCTGGCCCTATACTGGGGGACATCCCGATGGGGGGCTGCAGAAATCATGGTGAGTATGTGACTCCTTCCCCCGTCCCATATAACTGGTTCCGTTTTTCAAATAACTACTCCAAACCCCATTGGCCCTGGGGAGGAGTAGCTCTGATCTCTATCTCTTCCCCACCCCAACCCAGGAAGCCTACTCCATGGCCAGACAGTTCAACCTGATTCCTCCCGTGTGTGAACAAGCTGAGCACCACTTGTTTCAGAGGGAGAAGACGGAGATGCAGCTGCCAGAACTCTACCACAAGATTGGTTTGTAGACCCTCATCCCTACCTTTCCCTAACTATCTGTGGCATAGGTTCCCTTACCAACACCCGGTCTTCTTTCTCTTAGGTGTTGGCTCAGTCACCTGGTCCCCTCTGGCCTGTGGCCTCATTACTAGCAAGTATGATGGACGAATCCCAGATACCTGCAGAGGTGCCATCAAGGTAGGGGACTTAGGATGGCAGGACTGGGCTATCTGAGCTACTGTGTGTGTTGTTGTGGGGGGTGGATCTTTTGCTGATTCTTCTTGGCCTCCAGGGCTATCAGTGGCTCAAAGACAAAGTGCAGAATGAGGATGGTAAGAAGCAACAAGCCAAAGTCATGGATCTTCTCCCCATCGCTCACCAGCTGGGGTGCACTGTGGCTCAGCTTGCTATTGGTGAGACACTGCCAGCTCTGGACCTTGCAGGGGCCCTATCTCCTCTTGAGGTGCTCCCAAACCCATCTGCGGACTGATTTCTCCAAAGGCAGGACCCTCTTTTTCAGAGATACCTTTGAAGTCTATGTGCTCACTGTTCCACATACATTCTCTCTCTCTCTCTCTCTCTCTCTTTTTTTTTTGCTCCTCTGGCCTCAGCATGGTGTCTCCGCAATGAGGGTGTTAGCTCCGTCTTGCTAGGGGTGTCCAGTGCAGAGCAGCTGATAGAACACCTGGGCGCTCTACAGGTGAGCTAGAGACTCAGAGGCAGAGCCTGTATCTGTTTCTTTTCTTGGGAGTCGAGGCCAAGCTGTTCAACCCAATATAGCCCTGTGAAGTTACCCACTACAAAGTCCTCACTTTGCAGGTGAGAGGTCCCAGGCCCAAATGTGAGGCAGGGGCACAGCTATGAGTCTTTCCTTACTATTTGACCCCATTGTGGTTTTTCCCGGGGTCCTTGAACCCCATGCTCTTTCTCAGTGACCCAGCACGTAACTGCCCTCTGTGTCACCCCCCTCTCCTTCAGGTGCTGAGCCAGCTGACCCCACAGACGGTGATGGAGATAGACCGGCTCCTGGGTAACAAGCCGCATTCCAAGAAATAGTCTGTCGGGGGCGCAGGGACCCAACCCAGAGCCGCTGCACGTTCCCGAGAACCGCTTCCCAGCAATCACGTCTCTACCTTCTCTGAATCCCTTCCCGCAGCGGTCAGAGCCAGGATAGCCCCGCCCACCAACGAGTCCCGGCTTCGAGTAGCGATTCGCATGACAAAGCCATATCCTTCCGCAGTAGGGCTTGAGAGAGAAAGTAGTCCGCCTGACCCCTGTTGCGTCCTTCTAGGCCTTGCAAATCCTGGGCATGAGCAACTGGTCATCCACTCACTGCCACTTGGTCTTGCTCCCTTCTCTCTTCCCCCTATTGCTGAGGCCCGGGGGTGGTGGTGGTGGGGAATGGCTGATGCTGGAAACATGCAGAGTACCTCAAAAGGTGCCCCTGAAATGTCATCAAGGGGCAATGATTTAGTGAGTTGTAATGTCATCTGAGATAGGAAGTGGGGCCTTTGCATTCATTATTCGGTACAAAGAAAGCCAGGCTGGTCCTGGCAGGAAGTAAATGATAACCTTTGGCAAACCAGACTCTGCCTCCCAGCCCAGAGATGGAGGGTGGTAAGGGCGGGGACTACAGTGATAAAAAGCGCTGGGCGCTGACAAAGGTAGAAGGAAATTCAATAGCAGATGTACAGCGTGGTCTGGCAAAAGTGGTCAGGGAAAACAAGGCCGCACTTCGCAGGAATTAGGGTCGTGGGCAGAGACATGGGGCTAACATAAAAAGGTCTGGGGATAGACTTTTGAGCCTTGAGCAGCACTTCTTCCTCACAGTAGAGGATTGTGGTCTTCCTCTCGCAATAACCTTAAAGCAATAATGATGGCTCTCCTCTGTAAGACTTCCCAGGGAACTGTAAATAAAATCTCAGTTTGATCCTTACAGTGTCTGAAATTGCAGGGGGCTAGGAGGTTAGGGACTGTCTTAGGTCTCTGGCCCTTTTGCCTCCATGCCATTAGAAAGCTCCTAGCACTACCTTTCTCTCCATTGCTCATTCACCTTGGTAACCCAAGCATCAGGCCCCTACTCACTGCTCTCATCAAAAATCTAGGCACTACATACCTCAGGCCCCAGAGTTCTTCCTTCTTTCAGACACCACATTCTTTATATCCCAGAGATCTGGCTTCATAGTTTGGTTCCTACTTTTCCTACAAAAGACTCAGCTGTCTGACACTCTTGGTCTTGTTTTTTGTTTTTAAAGTAATATTAGCCATACTTCCTTGTCTTGTTCTTCTCATTTCCCTCCCGCCAGATACACACACACGTGCCACAGAACTATCTTGGCACATATTTTCTTATGGCTGAGCCAAAAAGGATGTTCTGAGGCTGAGGCTTTGCCACTTGGTGGGAGGTAAAGTGAAGGCCAGTCTATGGTTGAGGGGATAGAGAGGAAAAGGAGTTAAAATTCTAAAAGAAAAAAGAAAACAAGTGATGTATCAGGTGTGATGGTAGCAGAAAAGTAGAATTAAATGGAGCCATGTGAGATAATACACCTATTCTTCCCCCAAATGATTCTAATTTCCCTGTGACAGAAAGCAGGTCGAAAGTTAAAACCTTAAAAATCACAAGATAGAGAAGGATGAGCTCTGCCTTCCTTAAATACAACCTCACCATCTCCCTCTACCCAGCCTTATCCTACGTTGATCCAGAAGCTGGGAGAACAAAGTAAAGCTAATTTCCAAAAGAGGAAAGTCAGCAGCTTGCCATTTCCTGGATTAGCAACAAACTGGATCAACTAATGAATACTTATATCTACCCCTATCATCTCCCACTCATTTTGCAAGACTGTGGAGGAAACAAAGAAGTAAAATGTATGACTAAACTATGATTATTCTGTAACAAACATTCAAGAATTTATCAATTCAAAATAGTGTTCTCCTTAAATACTTACCTTGGAGGGTTACACACTTATTTTAATAATGCCTCCACCATTGCTCAAAACATTTTAAAAACTCTTCTTAGAATTACCTTCAGGGACAGTTTAGAAACTCCTTGTAAAATAACCTTCCTCTACTGTCATACCTCCTTTGTATATAAATGTTTGCCATATCTGTCACTTAACCTCATTCACTTAACAAGTATGCACTTATTGAGTGCTACTATGGAAAAGTACAGGAATACAGTGGTGAACAAAACCAGATTGAGAACAACCTTCATGCAGCTTACTGATGGTAGAGACAATCACACAACTACCAAACAAATACAAACTTCAATTGTCCAAAGGAAAGCACATGTGTTAACAGAGTCTATAATGGGTCTTTGACACGGTGAAGCTGCACTGAGAGTTGAAGGATAAAGTAGGTGCTAATAAGGTGAAATCAAGAGGGTTAGGAGAAAAGCATATGCAAAGGCCCTCTGGCAAAAAAGAACATGCAAGCCAAAGGTCTCCAAAGTCAGGCTGTCTAAAGAAGAATGGGAACAGAATGGAGGGATGAGTGAGTTCAGAATACACAGGGCCTTACAGGGTACCTTACAATATTATCTTTATCCAAAGAATAGTAGGAAATTCTCTGTATCAGTTACCTATTGTTATACAACAAATCACCCCAAAATTTAGTAAACAACTTTTAAAAACTTTTTTTTTTCATGATTCTGGGGACTAGCTGGGAGTTCCTCTGCTGTTTTCATCGGAGCTCACTCATGTGGTTGCACTTGGCTGAGTAGGAAAATCCAAGATGGCCTTGCAAACATGATTTTGCAGTTAGTGCTGGCTATTGGCCAGAGCCCTTCTCTTCACATGGCTTCATCCTCCGCTGGTCTAAACCCACTTCCTTACATAGTGGTCTCAGGGCAGGGTACCAAGGTGACAAAAGGAGAAGCTGCAAAGCTTCTGAAGGATGAGGATCCAGAACTCACACATCCCTTCTGCCACATCTACTGGTCAAAACTAGTTATGAGGCCACCTCAGATTCAAGGCATAGGGAAAGAGATCCCTTTTTTTTTTTTTTTACACAGTCTCATTACATCACCCTCGGTAGAGTGCTATGGTGTCACAGCTCACAGCAACCTCAAACTCTTGGGCTCAAGTGATTCTCTTGCTGCAGCCTCCAAAGTAGCTGGGACTACAGGCACCCACCACAATGCCTGGCTATTTTTCTGTTGCAGTTGTCATTCTGGCTTAGCTGGCCCAGGCCGGGTTCCAACCCACCAGCCCCAGTGTATGTGACCGGGGCCATAACCACTGGTGCTACTGGCACCAAGCCAAGATCCCAATTCTTGATGGAAGAAGCAGCAAAGTCACACTGCAAAGGAATTTGGGACCATTAAGCTATCACTATAGGCCAAGTAAGATGGAACATGCCTGTAATCCTAGCTCTGTGGGAGGCTGAGGCAGGTGGACTGCCTGAGCTCAGGAGTTTGAGACCAACCTAAGCAAAAGAGTGAGACCCCCTCTCTAAAAATACCTGGGCATTGTGGTGGGTGCCCGTAGTCCAAGTTACTAGGGAGGCTGAGGCAAAAGGATCGCTTGAGCCCAGGACTTTGAGGTTGATGTGAGCTATGATGCCATGGCACTCTACCAAGGGTGACAAAGTGAGACTGTCTCAAAAAAAAAAAAAAATGCGATCACTACATTAAAAGGTTTTAAACACAAGTGGAAGAAGTGTGTGAACGGACATAATTAGGTTTTAGATTTGGAAAGATATCTGTAAATATAGAGAGAAGGCAGAGTACCTGTGGAAACTGGTTAAGTCTGAAGATACAAAAAGATCTGAGGTGCACCATTCCAAAGGGAAGTTGATAAAAAGTTTTGAATTATGACAGTATCACTGAAATAAGTAGACAGCTTTCCCCTAAGTGATAATGAAGATAATACAAAAGTTCTGAAATATTTGTGTAAAAATAATGTTATACATTCTCACAAAGGATTACCCTCCAAGTTTTAATAATCTAATTAAAAACAAAACTAGCTCTACACTGCATACTATAGCTTGTTAATGCCATGAATGTAGAGAAGCCCATCTTGGATGCCACTGATCAAGAGATAGGGCATGAAAATGTTGGGTACTGAGAAATTAAAGTGAACACAATATAGGCTGGGGACACAGGATAATAAGCATAGTTAATACAGTATTTACCTGATGTTTACTGTCTACTTGGCATCATTTTAAGCACTGTAAACATATGATCTTATTCAATTTTTACATTGTTATCCACATTTTATGAAGAAACCAAGGCCCAGAGAAATTAAGTAACTTGCTCAAAGTATCACAAGTAGTGATGGAGGCTATCATTTGAAATCAGGCCAGCTGGCGCTAGACTTGTGTTATTACCCTCCACAACAGAACCTGGGTTGCAGGCGCAGAACAGGAGGGTGAGGAGGCAGCTGGGTGTGGGTATGGCACCATAAGGGCATGTGGGCTGAGTACTATGTCCTGTTTACCTGTAGGGGAAGTCAGACCCCTGAGTCAGAACCCATGTTGGACTGCTTTGCTGGAGCCATCATGATGTGTGGGTGTATAGACCTAGATACTCTGGAAGGAAAGGATTCCCAGGATTCCTAAGGCAGTGGTCCTGGAATCTAGGTCCCTGATTAGGCTGAGATGTCAGCTGGGAGCTGAGCAGTTTGGGGAGAAATTTGGGAAGCTAACCTTACAAGAACACAGAGAAGTTACCTGTAATAAGGAGAATAGTAGGCCAAACCGGTTACTACGGCGGAATCCACTCAAAGGCCCAGGAGTCCACTAAAGGTTGGGTAGGATGGGCAGTGTAACTGGCTTAGGAAATCTGGGTGGGGTTGTGAAAGAGTATGAGCAACTTAACAACAGGCTTTAAAGACCTGTGCTAGTGGCTGTGGGCTGGGGTGCGGGAAGGGAGCTCGGGGTTCCCACGAGGTAGAATTAAGGAATGCCGGATACTGCGCTGGGGTCTTGAAGCAAAGTGTGACCCGCCCCCAAGAGCTCCACCTAGCATCACCTGGGCCACCTCTCCTGCCCTACCATCACTGTCATTCCTGGCCTCACATCTCCACCGCCCCCACACGTGCCGCAGGAGGGAGCGGCCAGACCACAGCGTGATGCTACGACAGGCGGGGCCTCACTATTAAAAGGGGCAAGAGGCCGCGGCGCGGGCCCCAGGACCAGGAGCGGGCCACTGGAGGGTCCGCTGTTCTGTCCACAGAGCCAGCAGTGTTAGCGACCCCCTTGAGTCCCCTTGGCGGGCACAATGCAGCTCCTGGTGAGGGTGCCCTCTCTTCCGGAGCGGGACGAACTGGACTGCAACATCTGCTACCGCCCCTTCAACCTTGGGGACCGAGCGCCCCGCCGGCTGCCCGGGACCGCGCGTGCCCGCTGCGGCCACACACTCTGCACAGCCTGCCTGAACGAGCTGGCGGCGCGCGGCGACGGCGGTGGGGCGGCCGCGCGCGTGGTGCGCCTGCGCCGCGTCGTCACATGCCCTTTCTGCCGCGCGGCTTCTCCGCTTCCGCGCGGAGGCGTCACGGAGATCGCGGTAGACCCAGACCTGTGGTCGCGATTGGAAGAAAAAGTGCGGACCGAGGGTGAACGAGATGAGGCGGGAAGACTGGCCAAGGAAAGCGGCGATGATAACGGAGAGGACGATGAGGAAGGGGCGAGCGAGAAAGGGGCGGGACCCAGGAGCGTGGGGTGGCGCGGACTTCGGCAGCTGTGGGACCGGGTCCTGGAGCCGGCGCGCCGCTGGCGGCGTCCGCTGCCTAGCAACGGTGAGGAGGTGGTCGCTGTGGGTGGGTGCCAGGGAAAGTGCCGAGAACTCTGGGGTTTGGCTGCATGCTCCTAACCGTGCTGTCACCAACCCTTCTTTCCCCCAGTGCTCTACTGTCCTCAGATCAAGGAGATTGCCCACATGACCCGTTGCACGCTGTAATCAGGGAGTCCAGAAGCTAAGGCCAAAGGAAGGTGGGAGCTGCAGCTTCAAGAGGCCCTAGTCAAGACTACCGCCTCTGAGAGCCTGAGATTGTCCGTGTGATCGAGAGATGCGCCAAGGGCTGGAGGGAACTTCCGCCCTAGGAGGTGCTGATGCTGAGCTGGGGAGGCTCCTAGACGCACTCGCCCCCGTCTTACTAACTGTGCCAGCCTTAGATTTTCAGGATGGAGTGGCCAAGAGATGATATAAACAAAGCCTGTGTTACCGTGGGAAGCAGACAGACTGCTTAGCTGTGACTTTGGCTTTTGGCCAGGGCGGTTCTGGTGTGTAGGAGCAACAGGTCCCATTTTAGCAATTCTTTGCCAGTGGTTTCAATTTAAAAAAAAAAAAAGGAACAGAAGAGGCTAATTTTCATGTCATGTTAATCCGACTTCTCTGGCATGAAAAGGTTGCTGATATGCCTGCTCTCTCCCCATTACCAGTTCCAAAAACTGAGATGCCTCACTTCCTTTGTGATTAGGAGCCTTACTTCATTTCACAATCTCCCTTCAGTTGCTAGGGAGGACAGGTGTCATAAGTTCCAAAGGGTAATTATGTGAGGTGCCTAGGCAGGAAGGTAGAGACATTTGGCAAAGGCCATCAAATTTTAAACTTTTGCTATTATCTGTATTATACGCATATCTTTACCGTCACAGAGAAACACTGGCACTACTGAAAATGTATGCTCATAAAACTTGTATCCCATAATGGGATTATCACCTATTGTATCATGGATTCCATTTTAAAATCCTATAAATATGATAGTAGTCATAGTCAAGGGCCAGCAATGTCAGTTATCACTGGGAGAAGTGCAGAATCTCAGGATCCCACTCCAGACTTCTTCAATCAGACTACATTGTAACAATTCCAGGTGATTTATGTGCATGTAAGAATTTTAGTAGAATTGATCTAGATTCTAGACTAGTATACTAATCACCATCTGTGGATGGAATATTTAAAGCACAATTGGTATAACTGATACACTGTTTTAACATTGCTGAATAAATCTTATGGTGATAAACATTTTTCTTACCTGAAAATGTGAACTTATTAACCTTAATTTTCTTAGGAGTATCCAGACTTTTTAAATTACTATTATTTTTGACAAATCATAATTGCATATATTTATAGGGTATAAAGCTCAATTTTCGTAACTGAATTTTTGCATTTTCCTGTCCTTAAGTCTCAGCTTCTCTTGGAGAAGTCTTTTTTAGCATTCATACTAGTAGTACCCCTTCTCCTCACTCTTTGTAACATAATGCCTTGTTTTTACTTCCTTATTTTCTGATGTTTCATGTCCTGTGGGTGTTTCCCACTGGAATGTAAGCTCCATGGAACTTACAACTTGTGACTGTTTTATATCCAGAGCCAACAGCAGTGTTAATGTATAATATGTACTCAGTATTTTTTAATATAGTAGCCTCAAGAACTAAGTGGCCTCTTTCAGCATCCAAGAGGCTCTGTTAGTGAACAATAAATGTCAAGGAAGTGTCTAGCAGTTCAAATCTTTAGCAAGTTATGCAAGTTTGACCCCCAACTCCTTGAAGTGTAGGCCTTTGCTTCATATTAGAACTCAGTCTGTGGAGCTGCAGTGACCTCTACTGACTTTAAGGGGAACTAAGCAACTTGAAGGAAAGAATGGTCAAAAGGGTGGCTGGAAGGTAATTTTGATCTTGCTAATAAGCACTCCTCCCTATATATATATATATATCTATATATATATATATATAATATATATATATAATACATATATATATGTATTTGAGACAAGACACTATGTCACCCTTGGTAGAGTTCTGTGGCATCACAGCTCACAGCAAACTCAAAATCGTGGGCTTAAGCTATTCTTGCCTCAGCCTCCCAAGTAGCTAGGATTACAGGCACCCTACCCACTGAGCTACGGGAGCTGCCTCCCAATACACTTCTGCCCAGAGTCCTGTTCTCTGTCTCTGTGCTTAACTGGAGCTATTTGTTGCTCACCCTCCATATCTCCATAGTGCATTGTGTGGTTGGGGTTGGAAAAAAAGCCTCAGTTTTAGTGAATCATCTAAGATAAAAATGAGGAAGAGGAAAGTCACAAGGTTTTTTAAAAAGAAAGATAATATGAAATGGCAGAAAGCAACAACCCTTCTTATCCCTCCCCCCTTAAGAACTTCCCCCAGTCACAAATAACAGAGCACACAGAAAGGAAAGTATAATTTATATGTACAACCAATAAACCTGATACAGAAGAGGGGATCAGGACAGACCAGGAGTGGGTGTGAAGAGAGACTGGGAAAGGGGCAGCAAGAAAGTGAAGGGGCAGCAAAGAGGAAGTGGGGGGTTCGCCATGCAAACTGCCACTTTCCCCGGCCCCTCCTGGGAAGGGGATGTGCCCATGTCTCCCTAGCCTGCCCTCCATTTTGCTCAGGTCCCAAGGCCCTGACTAGGTCCCCTGCCTGACCTACTCAAATTTAGTCTGTATCCAGGTCATAAGGGATGGAGGGTAGAAGTCCTCCAGGGACTGAGCCCCAGAGCTGGGGACTTTTCCCATGTCTGGCCCTCCGTATTCTCTCCCACCCTTCTAGGTTACCTGGGTTCCTAGAACAGGTTGGGGAGCTCCTCTTTGGCTTGAGGGAGTATCGCCCAACCATTAGTCTTTTTGTAGTGGTGGTCCTTGGTCCCTAGGGAGATTCCCAACACAAGATGCTGGTACACAGGAGGTAACTGAGCCAGTGAACAGCGCCTTTATTCTGAGGCTGAACAGCAATTGACTCCCTCCCTTGGTAACTGCTCCACGCTCCATACAGGGAGAGGTAGGGGAAGGTAACATGCAGCCACTCCTTCTCTTCCCTTCTTCCCTCCCAGGGCTCATTTTCATCCCTCTCTAAAAGTTCCCCTCCTCTCTTCAAAGTTCTTTCCCCCATAAAGTTCCTAAAGGCCAGGCAAGGCTAATCCCCCATTTCTATAGGAGATGGAGCTGATATTGCAGGAAATAAGACTGGGGAAGCTCCACCTCTTTCCTCCCCACAACAATTTATTGGGAAGCTGTGTATATTTGGCCGGGGGCAGGGGTGGTTAAAGGAATCTGGAAGACCCTGCTAACCATCTCCCACCCAGACCTCTTCTCACCAGCATAGTCTTCAAAGCTTGGTGGGAAAGGTGCATGGAGTGGAGAAAGACAAAGGGCCCTTCTTGAAGAGAGGAGCTGTAGAGAAGGGCAGCAAGGTTCCTAGCCCAGTGGTGCCCCAAGGGGTGGGGAAGGCGGAGGGTTGGCAGTAGGCCCCAGAGCCTGAGCTGGGGGTCGGCCTCGGGGACGGGGCCTGGGTGAAGGGCAGGCCTGGGATCCAGTCAGTCGTCTATACAGATCACCTCCCCGGCTCGGGGCTCCTTCCGATCCAGACCATCTGACACCAATGCCCCCACCATTTCCTTCTCCTTCTTCACCAGCACTGGAGGGCCGTTGGTGGCGGCTGCTTGGGAAGGGGGTAAGGAAAGAGCAATCCCCTCATCACTCCTCCCAAACATCACTTTGTGGCAATAGTATATTCTCACTTTTTTTTTTTTGAGACAAGAATCTCACTATGTTGCCCTCTCACTATGTTGCCCCCAATAGAATGCTGTGGCATCACAGCTCAGAGCAACCTCAAACTCTTGGGCTCAAGCGATTCTCTTGTCTCAGCCACCCAAGTAGTTGGGACTACAGGCACTTCCCACAAAACGCTGCTATTTTTAGAGCTTGGGTCTCTCTCTGGCTCAGGCTGGTCTCAAACTCACTCGTGAGCTCAGGCAATCCACCCACCTTGGCCTCCCACAGTGCTAAGGTTATAGGCATGAGCCACCACTGAGTTGTCTATTCTCACTTCTAAGTCACTTCCTTCAGGTGGGAAGACCAGGATGAACCCCTCTACCTGAAGTTCTACCTTGTACCACATGATTGAACCCATGTTCCAATTCTCACTATACCCCTTCTGATTTCATATTCACTTTTCTTTGAAGTAACCCAGTTGGAAGTGGCTTAGATACCAAGCCAACCACTAAAACCCTGAAGGAGGTTTTCATAATGGGGAAAGAAGAGGGATTAAGGGATGGAAAGAACAAAGCCAACAAAGCCCAGAACACTGAATACAGCTGAGGACATGAGATGGACCCACACAGTGAAAGGGCACAACTAAGCAGGGATAAAACTTGGCAAAGGAGGAGTGGAACAGGGAGCAGGGAACCACTAGCTGACCTGTGATGAAGGACCCTGCGGGCATCTGGCTGTAATTGGCGCCTGCGGCGGCCAGGGCCCCTACGGGTGCGGTGCTGAAAGCCACCCCGTACCCCGGAGGTGTAGCGTAGGGACCCGGGGGGAAGGCCTGGAATAGAAAGCAGGCTGAAGTTAGAGTTAGTCCACAGTTTGTGAGGGAAAGAAGCTGTAGTGGAGACATTACAAACTACACGCCAGAACTACTGAGGGTATAACATAGAGGCAGGGAGACTCACTCAAGGGTGCAGACTGTGTTCTATCAAGTTGTTTTTCCACATTGTATAGGATTCTGATGGAGTGTTTATATGTGTGCAGGAGGAACACCAACAGGGAAAACGAGTTAGGGGGAAAGAGGGTTACCGGTGTGGGGTGAGGCTCTGTGCCCTTGCTGGCCAGCCGGCTGAGGATGCTGCGCTCGGACATCTGAAGGCGGGCTGCGATGGGGGGTATTCGGGACAACGTGGCTGGCAGGCGGGTCACGTCTGCCTTCATGTCGCTCAGCAACTCCTCCAGCTGGTTCAGAACTGGGGCCCGGGCCACGGAGAAAGAAGGGCAAGAGAAAGATACCGAGAGAGAGATGGAGCCAGGAAAAGAGAGGAGTCAGATGGACAGATATAGTCAGAAAAAGAAGAGGACATAGACATCAAAGAACCAGAGACCAAGACAATGAGAGAAGTAGACAGAAAAAGTGAGCAACTCAAGGGAAAGGAAAGTGTCAGGAAAAGAAACAGTGAGACCAAATCACACAGAGGATGGATGGAAAGAAGGAAAGAAAAAGGAATACAGAGAAAAGGGAGAGAAGGAAGGACATTGGAAGACAATGGGGGCGGGGAGTTGTCAGAACATCCCATACTGGAAGAGCCAGGTTTAGGGTTGGGGATTAACAGGGAGGAAATAGTCAGGAGGCATGGGAGGTAGTAGGTTAAAGCTTAAGAAATCCAGTTTTTAGTATGTAAGGGGAAAAGGAGGTTAGAAGGTCAGTACTATGGATTCAAGGAACTAGAACAGGGATCAAATAGGCTGGGAGTCAGTCACTACATTAGACAGTACTAGATGGTTAGAGGGCTTTGGGATTCCATCTATCATTATCAAGGTAAGATGGGATGGGAAGAATGGTTGAAGGGAAAAGGGAACTTTAATGGGGGAGGGTCAGAGGGTGAGACAGGAGGTAGTTCTGCCTCATGAGGTGAATGAGATGTGGGGATATAATTTGTGGGATCAGAGACAAGGATTTTTGTGGCATATACACCGGCTAAGACCTCAAATCGGATGATGTTAGCAGTATGGCAGGTGTGTAGTTCCACTGCCAATGAAGAGGTCCCACTGTGCAGAGAGGACATGGAGTCCAGGGAGGTCTCTTTATTGGGCAATGATGTGAATACTATCAGGCATGGAAGTGGCTTGTACAAGTCCTAGAAGCTAAAAACCAAGGAAGTGCCAGGTGGGACAGGGGCAAGGTTAGAGGTGGGGGGTGGGGGGTAGTAGTGGTTCAGAGGGTAAAAGGGTTGGAGGGGGAAGATTTTGAGGGGTGCGGGGTGAAGACTTACGCAGCGTTGTGGGCCCTCCCCCGCGCGGGGCCGCCGCGGCCCTTACCCTTGTGCAGGACGGCGTTGGCCGGCTTGTTCCCTGCCAGCGACTCCTTGGAGAGGTGCTGGTGGCTCTCGGCCAGGCACTCGGCCTCGGCGAAGCGGGCGTGGAGGGCCATGGCGGGGTGCGCCGGCTCCTGTGACAGGTTCAGGTAGGCCGCCCGCCGCAGCTGCTCCTCAATCACCAGCGCCTGCTCCAGGAGCTGAGAAACCAGGGTTTGAGGGGTGAATGTGAGTGAGTGAAGGGGAGTACACAGCATTGAAGACACACCCTGTTCTCACTGCTGGCCCAGAGCACCCCCAGCTCCACACCAACTGCAACCCAGCATCAACCCTGACCCAAATCTCAACATAGGGTTATACTGTGGTCTTTGCTTCAGGCATCGCCTCAACCCTATTCCCTAGATTCTAACCAGGTTATGTTCTCACTTCTGACCCATGCCCCTCTATAACCCTATTCCTTTCCTCCATTATTCCCACCTTAAATCTCCGGGCCAGGAACTTATTTTTCATCTCCAGAAAGTTCCCTTTGTTGGCTTCAGTTTTAAATGGCTCATTAATAATGGCAAACTGAGCATCATTCTGGATGTCCTGCCACCGTGCATAGCCATGGCTGCCAATGAAGAAAAGGGGACCATCAAGGAATTTAACAGGAAGATATAATGGATGCTATCTTAGGGATATAGGCACAATTATTAACCTTGACTCCAACTGTACAAAGTAATGCATGTAACCAAAATGTCTGTATCCCTATAATATTCTGAAATAAAAAAATAAATAAAATTGTTTTCAAATTTTTTTAAAAAAAGGAATTTAAACAGGGATGGGGTTAGCTGCAAACACTACTTCCCTTTGGCTTGATCTCCCCAGCACATGACATGAATCCCTTTCCTTCCCTGGTCTGAACTTGTTTTTGCTATAGTTCTCCTCTCTCCAGGTTGAGAGAACCCTTTTCTTTCTTGTAGTTGTATCAAAGGATACAGGACAATCCCAGCCAGAAGCCAATAGTCATGTCTTCGGTGCCAAATCTCATTCAGTTTCCCAGAGGAAATAGCTGCCCGTTCCTCATTCTGCCACAATGTGTGAAGCTCTGAAAAGAGGGTAGTAGACAGAAGAGGGTATCAAGGATTTGTCAACTACACCCAGCCCAAAAGTCAGGCAGAGATGGGGAAACAATAATGGAAAAGTACTAAGAGCTCCTGAAGGGTAAAGGGTAAAGGTGAAGCTAGGGGTTAGAAATAAAATTAGCTGTGAACAACTAATTTAGGCTCAAATTAGGATTGGCTCATTCCTATAATCCTAGCACTCTAGGAGGCAGAAGCCAATGGATTGCTTGAGCTCAGGAATTTGAGAATACATCTCTACAAAAATAGAAAAATTAGCAGGGCATACAGTAGGTGCCTGTAGTCCTAGTTACTTGGGAGGCTGAGGCAAGAGGACTGCTTAAGGCCAAAAGTTTGAGGTTGTTGTGAGCTATGATGTCATGTCACTCTACTCAGGGCAACAGAACAAGACTCTGTTTAAAATAGACAAATAAATACATAAAAATCATAATAAAGGTGGAATTAGAGGCAACTTTGATGTTAGGAGGTACACTAAAGAAAGATTTACAGCAAGGATCAGAATCAGCATGCATCATTTCATTGGAAGTTACTTGAAATTAAAGGTAGCAGGAAGCCTCAGACAAAATAAGAAACCCTATGAGCATGACCAAACTCCAGTGAGAAACAGAGAACAGGGAGAACTCTCCGCACCTGTAAAACCACCATCTGCAATATTGAACATGAATCGGGGTTTCTCTGTCTTCTCCTCACGTCGCCCATTGGACCGTGGCTCATCTCGAGGAGGCCCTGGTCGAAGATCCCGGTCAACTTTTACATCTTCTGCTAGGTCAAATGGGGCAAAGTTCACACCTCAGGACAGTCTCCTCCCAGCCCCCAAGACTATGTACTACCTGTACTGTACTGACCTTTCAAGGAGCTACCCACCCAGGACCCAAGCAATCACTCCCCCAGACTCCTCCTCCCCTGATGCTCTCAAAGACCCAGGTGGTCTGTTCTTTCCACCCATTACCTCTCTTGCCCAAATCCCCTGTTTCCCCCTCCGGCCTCTCCCTGTGCTCCTGTCCATCCAACGGCTTCTCCTCCCCCCTTTCTCCTGGCGTCGATTCTGTGGCTGTGGGAAGGGGGAGGGGATAGGAAGGGAGGATGTCACCCTCATCCCCTGACCCCAGAAAAGGGAACCCCCACAATCCCTAAGGCCATGCACCTACCTGACTTCTCTCTGTCCCCTCGGTACCCAGGTTCAGGCTCCATCTCTCCAGGTACCCCTGGTACCTCATCCTCTACAGGAATCTTCCTGGGCTCCAGCCGCTCTCCAAGTGATGGGGCTGGGCTAGGAACATCAGCCTGGAAAGGACAGAGTCATGATAAGCCAGCCCCAAGGCACCCAGCCTTCAAGACCCTTCTACTCTTTCTCCTTAAGGGAATAAAGTAGCCACACACCTCTGTCTCCATCTTCTCCCCAATTTTGCTATTCCTGTCTGGCTTCTCCTCCTGATTTTCAGCTTCCTCCTTCTCAAGAGGTGTCCTTATGCCCTCGCCTTTCTCACTTGGAGCTGGAGTAGCTGCAGGGGAAGGCAGAGTGAGAAAGGCAGAGGTTCCCCACTCTTACTCCTTCCTGACTCCCATTTTTTGTCTGTCCTGCCATCCTTAACTCCTGATTACCAGGTTTAGAGGTGCAGGGACTGTTGGTAGCAGAAGCCTCAGGAGTGGTGGGAGATGTTTTGGTAGGAGAGGAAGCTCTGGAAGAGCGTTTGGAGTCAGCGCTGGGGTCAGGCATCAGTTCTGGCATTGACCAGCGCCCATTGATGTGCTCAAACTCCTGCACCTGGGGCAGAGGGATGGGGTCAACTCCAGGCATTGGACATCCAGGAAGCCCCAGTCCCCTCTACCAGCATGAGTCTAGAACTCAGGAAGAACAAAGCCTAAGTGTCCAACCTGATTATTTGGGTGAGAAGACGACCTATACCTTCTTCTTGACGAGAGACATGACTCCAATGCGGGTTAACACTTGCTGGCGACTCAGTCCCTCCCGAGGGACCCCATCAGCAAAGGTTTCAGAGCCATCTGCCCCAGGCTCACATAGATGGCGCATGAACAAAGACACATAGGCCCTAAGGAGCATGGGAGTGGGAGGAAGGTAAGGGAGCCGTAGAAGGAGTACAGGGTAGTGAGCAAGGCACAGCAATTATTGAATCCCTGTTACCCAAACTTCCTAGGTGCTCCAGGGCTCCCCTAGGTCTCTCACCTATTACTAGCCCTTTAAACCCTAACTGTCCCAGGGGCCTCTCCTCTGTCTTTCCCATCTCCCTGCTCGGGGTACTTTTGTTTCTGGCCCCATCAGTCAGCTCTTCATCCTTTTCATCAACTCCTCCTGCCAAGTGAATGTGAGGCTGAGACAGCCCAGGAGAGGCTTCTTACTTAAATGCCTCTCCTATAGGAAGGATGTCTGGCCCTCTACTCTAGGCTCAGCTGAGAGGAGGTGGTGTAGGCTGAGCCCACCCCCCAGGAAATGAAGCCAGCAAGCACTATATGACAAGGAGGGTGATGATCAGTTGAGTAAGGTCACATCATATGGCAGCCAAGAGGAATAAAGTTAATACCCAAAGCTCTTGCCCTTGCATCCAACTCAGCCCTGTATCACCCACACTCACTTAAACTCCTTCTCAGTCTTGCCCCTCAGGTCCCGCACCAGCCACTGTGTGGTGAAGGCATCCTGTGGCGGCATGCCCCAGCGCATCACTGCATTGAGGAAAGCCTTTCGCTGACGGGTGTTGAATCCCAACACCTGGGGGGGGAGGGGTAAGAAGGCAGTGGTGATGAATGTCCAGGAGTTCATCAGTGACTCAGACCCCAATTTCCAACCCCTCCAACCCTCGTTCTCTCCTTAGAGCACTCACAAAAGGTCTGGGCCCAACTCTCACCTCGATATTGCCCCCAACTCGGGCCAGCAGTGGAGGCAGTGGCTTATCTTTTTCATTCCGGAGCTGCCTCTTTGACTGTCGACGCCCTGAGGGTGCGTTGACACTGGTTAGTTGATTGATCCACATCCTCTAAGCCCCAGTCCTCCTCAGCACCCCATTCCCACAAGATACAGAACACCAGAATGACCCTCGTCATGTTTCAGGCACTTCTAATTCTATTCAAAGCACTTACACAACTACTAACCCAGTGAGCCTAAAAAAAAAAAATCAAGTCAGGCCTGGGCGCAGGCCTGTAATCCTAGCACTCTGGGAGACTGAGGCGAGTGGACTGCCTGAGCTCACAGGAGACCACCCTGAGCAAGAGCGAGACTCCAGCTCTAAAAAGAGCCAGGCAAAGCTTTGTGCAGTAGTAGTATCGTAGCCAATGAGGTTTATCCAAGGTGCAATTATTGCTAATTAAAAATAGCCGGATATTGTAGCAGGCACCTGAAGTC